GTCACGTTGTGACCATCTTATATATACCAGACTACCCTATATCTAGTAATCTCCCGACAATTCACGAAGGTACAAGATATTTCTAGAAAGCAGGGGCGTGACAATTAGTCACGTGACCTCGCTGACGCAACAGCAGTATTGCTTCAAAAACTCGCTATGTTTTTATTAGCGGATAAGTGAGCATAAAACTCACCCACGGGTAACAAAAATTCACAACTTTTTACCTATTTTAATTTTAATGGATGCAAAATACATTCCCTTTCATTCCCACTATGCATATAAACACACTTTACTAAAATCACGGGTACTACTGAATGCTCAATAAGACTTTTGGAACTAGTTTTGTATTTGGACAGCCAAAAATTTTACTAGTATAATAATAAAACAGTCTTTTTACGAGACTGTTAGATTCTAAAATGTTGGCAACAGAGAAAAGTATGTTATTATGTTATGTAATTACAGCAATTATTAATTAGCCAATTTCGCAAATAATACTAGCTGAATAAAAAATAAATTAATAATAACTATAAATCTACCTCTCTCTGCGTCTTGAGGCTCAAAAGGTTCTGTATAGCAGTTACTTCCGACCGGCATGACATAAACACCGTCTTCATCCTCTCCTGCAGCTGCTTGCCCCGAAAGCTCGGGTCGATAGTCCAAAGGGTCACTGTATTCTTGCACCAAAACTGGCTAGATGAATACACAAATAACCAAAACAAGTACTGCTTATTGGCTAAATTTACCATTACACAAGGCAAGAAGAAACGTGCTGTTATAAAACTAATGAAACTTGAACTTCCTTATTATTTTCACAACTAAAATGCACCTATTCCTGACTTTTAACTAAAGCCATTTCTTGTCAACCATATGGCTCTCTGAAGTTATAGAACTGATGGAGTTAGCTATTTGCTTCCAAGCAGCTTTTTCCCACTGGCTGGTTAAGCCACTGCTAAGCAAACCAAAGAGCATGCTTTTTAACGCATCTACTTCAGGCACTATTACCTCTATTTCAACATCCAAAAATCTTGTTTTGTTTCAGTTTTTGGAGCTATTTCTATCTCTTGATGCTATCTTCAACCCATCTCAAAAACATGCATGTTCAATGCATTTCTCTTATATGGTTACAAAGATGGCATTTTAAATGCAAATTTCAACATGTAAATAACTTTAATGACATTCAGATTTACCAACATCTATTATTTAGAAATGTGTATATAAGCACCTATGCAGAACTGAAAACTCATGATTTAATTATATGAAGAGCAATTCTAAAATTCAAGCATATAAATAAATCAGGTCATTTATTCACACACAAATGATGAATATTTACCAGGGCACTCACAGTTGTTTTATATTTAATACCCATAATACTTCTTTGTTAATCTGAAAATAAAACTTTCTTTTTTTCAAATTAATAACTTAAGTTTTGATCAATATTTTCCATTATTCAATCATCATTATTTTCAATGTTAAATTCATATTGACTCATACTTCAATTTGGAATTTAACACTGGAAAGTAGTGTACCACCAGAACCTAAATATATATATATTAATTTAATAATAATAAAAAAAGGTCAAACCTCCTGACTACTATAAAATCCAATCTTTAGTGGAATGATACAGATAGTATCAGTTTCACTGGATCGAAAAATCTTCACCATGAGAAGTATTTAAGTAATCTTTCAGTCTTATATCAACAGGATTTCCTACCAAAACCTAAGTAATTCTGGTATTCACAATATCTCTGCAACACCTATTTCTGTATATATATATGTGTGTATACAAAATAAGAAGGCTAGTTTTCCCTCCTTGTCTTAGGTTTAAAATATGCAGTGTATATTTATTAAATGATTGTTTTTAATCAGTTTAAATTTGAATCATTTGCAGACATCTAAGGAGTGACCAAAGCCACAAAACTGGATACAAATTGGTTATATTAAAAAAACGTCTATAACAAGTGAAAAATGTTTACGTATATAATTTGTTTCTTGAATTTCAAATGTTAATTGTTACTTATGGGTGTGCACACACAAAATATCCATCAAAAGTCTGAAGATACCAAAATACAATATTTTATGAAATGTACTGATTTATGTGCAACATTTATATCCAGGAGTGAAATAATTGGCATAAAAAGCTCAGTGAATAATTAATATTTAGTAGATCTTCTTCTAGCCTAAATTTTAACCGTATATCACATGTGTTGATGTCAACAGATCTTGTGAGACAATCTATTGTCCTTGCGTCAATTTGTACTGAACAGTCTCCCAAAGTTGCCACAGATCAGTTAATCTTTTGTAACATTTATTTACCAACTGGTTTCAAATATTTTCAATTTGATTAGCACCAGGACTATAGGCTGACCATTTCATAACATATTCAAACATTTTTTTCCTTCTTTAAATCTCTTACTAAAAGGGTAGTATGTATTGGATCATTATCCTACTTAAATTTACAACCAGTTAACTAACCATCATTTACTGGATAGCATGTGATGAGCCAGATGTTGTGGTGGTACTGCAACTTTTTCACTCATCAATATTGACAACTTACCGTCCTGAAGCATAAAAACATCCCCACACAATTATAGACCAAAGTAGAAGGTTTCATTGTTTTGGTTATACCTCACTTCCTTAAACATTATGAGGTTATGTCTCTCCACTAAAACATTCCTAAAGCTTTAAAATAAAAGAAAAGTTTATATTTGTTTGACCATTTCCAAATTTTACTTTTCTGGTCCTTATATTCTTAAACATGATTTTGCAACATTGTTTTCATGTAAATTATTTAATTGAACAGTTCTATTGTTGATCCTAATCTTTCCTTTATATTTATTTCTGACTAAATGATAAATTTTGATGTTGAAGTTCTTCAAATGCTATCATTATCATTTTATTTGGATGTATTTCATGGAAATTCTATCCTCTTCCTATTAGACTAGACTTCTAGATGCAACAAAATATGGTGATGTATATTTTTTAATGTTTGAAAAACGAGTACACACATAATTACTTTATTAAAATGAAAGAAAATTTAACATTTTATTGCTTAAAAATTTAATGTTTCTTTGATTACTTTATTATAAATTCTTTTGTACTAATTTTTCTGAGTTTTAGCATGTTCATACATGCAAAGTTTTTGTATAATGAATTGAAATTTGAATGTTAGTATTTAAAACAAGTGAAAAATAATATATCAGTGAATCAATACCACTAACTACCCAGCAGTTAAATTGAATTTATGATGTGATTTTACTTGTTAGATATAAACTTATAATTCATACTATTTGCATACATTCATGCACTATACATAAATGCATAGATAAGTGATATTTCAGTAACACATAATGAAACATAATTTAAAAAATATATTTCATTATCAAACAGAAACAATTTGTTTTAAAGAACTAGTAGAAAGTTGGAATGGAAGCCCCACTAACTCATTTGGTAGAATAATCCATTTCAGAACATTAGTGTCAACTTGAGAGATCCTACATTAAAGTACCATTAAAGCAAATGTCTTTTTGCCCATTTTTTATTATTAATGTATACACTGATTACTTGAAAAAAATGTTTGAATGTACACGAATGAATGTTCTTTTGACAAATGTTAATTAATCTTCTAAAACATAAAAAACCAACAATAATCTAAATTACATTATATTACACTTCTACTGCTAACCAAAACATACATTACTAGACACTTTACAGACTAGCTTTGAATAAAGTCAATAATAATAGAAAGAAAATGACATGAATAAATTTTACAAAAAAATCAGACAAGCAATCATAAGTAAACCTTTACAAACCAAATTCATAAACATAGAAATCTGCAGACTTTCAGTAATCCTTATTAATCAGCATATGAAATTGAACTACTTCCTTCCATAAATATAAAACTTTCAGAAATTCTATGCTTACAAGATGATGACAACATATATTTGTGTGGACAAACCAAAGAAGATGTTTTCAGCAGCTTTAATCACTTTCACCTCACTATCAAATTTAAAGTTGAATGTGAAAGAAATGACAAACTTATTTTCTTGGATATTTTGATAATCACAGAAAATATAGAAACCATCTCTCAAAAATACCACAAACCAACACACTTTATGTTCACTTTTTCTCATGTCACCATAAACAGGTCAAAACTTCAATAATTTCTTTTTTTTCTCAGTCTATATGTCACCTGACAATGCTTGAATATGAAATTAAAATTATCTTTTCTATTTTTGAAGAACTGCATTTTCCATAACATTTCATTCCAAATTACCATATTTGAGCAAGAAAATAAAAACATTGGTAATACAGACCATTTTATATTGGGCTACAACACAAAAATTGCACCTCTAAAGAAGATAATACAATATTAAGAAAGAATAACTGGAATAATATACAAATATCCAAACATCCTTAAGAATACCTAAGTAATCTAACTTCAAATAGAACAATCTGAAGATAAAAAACAAAGCATTTATATTATACCATGCCAATCCTATGAGGAATTTTATGTAGGTGAAACTGGAAGAAATGTTAACACAAGAGTTTTTGAACATAAAACATTAAGTATGGACAAATTTTAACACCTCCCAAGATCACTTCAAGTTAAAAAGTTTCCTGTGTCCTTAAGGGAATTCAAAGTTACAGAGTCATGTAGGCATTGTTGACCAGTCTTCATGTCAGAAATGAAGATGACACACAATTGCACTAAAACTAGGTTATTTAACATCAAGATTTCTGACAGTGTTCCATTTTTGTGGATTTTCACTAATGACATTAAATTTCTTAATACAGTAATATTCATTATTCAGTGCTATTCACGTATTAAAAGCCATACAATACAAACATGGTAACAAACTTTCAATTCAACAGGCATAAATACTTTCTTCTTTAATAAGGTTTCTTTGGATATTTTTAATTGAAGTCAAAATGCTGGATCTAGTAATAATATACTAAATTCATATCATTGCTCGTAACAAAAATCATATATATGTAACATTTTCAATATAAACATTACTTATATTATATTGGTCAATCTGAGTTGTTCAGGTATTTTTAATATTCATTTTTGTGATTTGCTTTAGTAAACTGCTGTTTTAAAAGTTACTCTTGCATGAAAAAGTAGCTTAGTTATTTAATGTTTTCTGCAAAATATTGTTCAACTTTACACGATTAAACTAGATGGTAATAGTTCCCTGTAAAAGGATTCACTCATGCCTTATATCATCCAGATAAATAATCTTAACTGAAAGCCATTCAGCCCAAGTTACTTCTCACCAGATGATCAAAACCAAATCCACTTTTTCCAATCATGCTTATATTCATTCTGTAGTAAGGGAACTAAACACCTCACAGTATTCTAAATCAGGTCTCAATCAAGTCTTATACATGACTATAATACTTTATTATTACTTTTAAATGCAAAGTTTAATTTCTATAAATACATCCAAAATACCAATTTACTCTTTTCAGTACTGCCGAAGGCTTGAATATTTCATCAACAATCACAAGTCAATCCTTCTCTGTTTCTACTCAACAATAATACTTCTCTTACCCAAGAAATCCTTTCCAAGTTTTCTTACCCCAAGCCTATCACATTACAGTTCTCAATAAATAAATTCTTTCTTTATTTTCACCTTTTTATATCCCATTCACCACCAATGTCTAGGTCTTAAGAAAACTGACCAGTATCAGCTTTTCCCTAAATCTTAGTATCATCAATAAATCTAAAACATTATCCACAAGAACTTTATATATGATAGGAATCAAAACAGAATAAAACAATTTAAATTTCCTGCACAGTGGTAATATACAAATTAACTACACCTAACAAATGTGACATAAAAGCATGTTTAGCTGCAGATATGGTTTCAAGCATATCTATTAGGCCTAATCATATTCTTACTTTGGTGTTTTATAAAAGCATCACCAGAATCACGTTATATCAATCTTGACACGTTTTCACCATAATGCTACCAATATTTTATAATAAAACTTTACAATGCATATAAAAACTCTTCATGTGCTTGAATAAGCAAAATGCTTTAAAAGTAAACAAAAAACTGTGATATTTGCACCTCTAGGGCAAGAAAAGCAGTCTCTAAATTAGTTTCACATAAAGAATGTAAAAATATCTCACTATGTCAGAATCATCCTTATCTTCTTCATTTCTAAAGTGAACTGCCTTCAATTGTATAGGAGCAAGGCCCATAAATTCCTCTTCACCTCCTTGTTCACCACTGAAATGCCCTCTTCCTACATTAAAAGTAGATGGATTAAAATCACATTGCACTCAAATTCTACTAAAAGAAATGGCAAATGTGAAATGTATGACCAACTAATTTTGTAAGTAAATAATATTTGCATAATGTACTTCTGGCAAAAAAAAACAAAACAATTAGCTGGTTTTATTTTTCTAACATAGAAATACATACACATACCAGATGTTATATAAAGCAGTGGACTATACTATGTAACAAACATATTGCTGCTTACTCAAAGTGGTTTTGTCACTATTGGTATCTTATCTCACCTTTAGTAAATTTAAAGTATGTGTTTAAGAGCAAAACAGCTATGTTGGAAGCAGTAGTGATGTGGATGATAGAAGGCTTATATTTTACACCTAAACCTTAATCAACACAATTAGATGAGAAAAATGTATTCTATAAAATTAGATTTCATGTCCTGTTAATATAAGTAGTGAGAGAAAGCCAGCTGACCAATTAAAGTTACCCATTTATCACCCAAAAATAAAACACCATTGTCATAAATGTAATACATCCTTGAAAAGAACTCATTACCAAAACATTTCACAAATATAATCACACAAAAAAAATGCTTAAAAAAGTTATATATACTCAGGGGATAAGTTAGCAAATTTGGATAGAAGAGTGGCTGGATGGAAGAAAGCAGAGGGTTGTTATAAATGGAGTTCAGTCAAATTGGATTAATGTTACAAATGGTGTACCTCAGAGCTAAATCTTAAGATCTTTGCTCTCTTTGATTTACATCAGTGACATAGATGAAGGAATGATCAATAAATTATTTAAATTTGCAGGTGATATTAAGGTTTTGCTAATGTGAAGAGGATGCTGCTCATTTACAAAAGGATTTAGATAATTTAATGAGTTGGGAAATAAATGGCAGATGGGTTTTAAAAATAATAAATACAATTGAGTTATCATAATTTGAATTATAAGTATAATTTGAATGGGAATAACCTTAACAGTGTCATGAAAGAAAGGGATATTGGTGTAATAGTTAATCAGTCTCTTATACCATCCAAGGAGTTTGCTGTTGCTAGTGGTATGGCACATAGGATTTTACGTTGTATCTAGAGAAAATATTGAATACAAGTTTAAAGAAGTTATAATGTCTTTGTTTAGGTCACTGTTTAGGCAACATTTGGAGTATTGTGTTCAGCCTTTGGACTCCTTACCTTAGTAAGGACATTGAACTGTTGGAAAGGGTTCAGAGGAGGATTACTAGAATGGTGCTTTGGATGGAGGAGTTGTCATTCAAGGAGAAATTGAAATCTCTCAAATTGTTTTCTCTTGAAAAAAGAAAAGTTAGAGGGGATCTGACTGAGTTGTTTAAGGCTGTAAAGAGAACTGATAGCGTTGACACATCATATTTTTTTCATACTTAATGGCGAGAATGATTGGGCTAGGGGACACAAATATAAATCTTGGCATGGTAGGAGTCATCTTCAGCTAAGACAGTTTTATTTTTCTAACAGGGTGGTTGGCCTTTGGATGTTGTGGGGCAGTAAATTTAACTGAGTTTAAGAGCAACTTGATAAGTATGTGAATGATAAGGGCTGGCATTAAGTTTTAAATTTATTTATTAATAGTTTTAGTCTAGTTTAGAGAATGAGATAGCTGAGATGGACCAACAGATCCTATGTTGTTCCAAAACATTATGTTATGTTATTTTACATTCAAACCATTATTTGCATTGTTTTTCAAACAGGTTACTTGCATGTACTTGTTTTCTTCATATAGATTACATTCTTAACCCTTAACTAGCTTTAACATCTGAATCACCTCCACCCTAGCTTTTATCATTCAAATCATTATTTCTTCTCAGTTTTTCAAACAGAGTACTTGCTCTCTTTATCACTATCTTTATTACCTAAATCAACTATTTTCTAATTCACCTATGTTTCAAAGACTATGAGTTTAAGGCTTAAGTTTAGCATCAAAACCTATGTCTTTTAAACCAGAAAAAAAAGACTAAGACTGAGCATAACATTTCAGAATAGAAAAATTTTTTTAAAAAGCAAAAATAATACATTTCCATTTCAAATGAAAAGTATAAGTAGATCTCAGCATATTTGTTTTTAACTTCTATCAAATACATAACAGAATGCTGCAATAATTTAGGAATGATTAGATAAAAATTAACTTATTTTCAACAACAATAATAGTCTTCCCAAAAATGTTACAAGTTCTTCCTTGGTTTTTAAATTTTAATACTTCTTAATATTAAAATATATAGTATGAAAACTTGAAACCATTCACTGCAGTTATACAAGTATAAAAAGTAAACAAGCATTATTTACAGTATTACTATTAGCAGTTTTCTAATTTTAAGAGAATTATGAGCTACTTATGTTATGAAGGATAAGGTAATACACCACACTCTGAATTTCATGAAATTCAGTATGGTTCTTTCATGTTTTAAATGCATGAAAATAATGAAAAATGTTATGAAGAAGTAGATCATCTCATTAGAAAACCAATGTTTATGGAATAGTATACATCACAATTATTTCTCAGGAAAGTGATAATATCCACAAGAAACTTTTTATCACTTTATAATTGATGCTAATCGTAATACTTTATCATACAAAACAAATTACAAAGTTGCCATGAGTCTTTGAAAGGCAGAAAAACATACTATAATCAATCTTCTTGTAATGTGAACATTACACTTACCAATTCCTTTAAGTCTGAGTTGAGCCTGAGGTTTTTTCTGCCCAAATCCAAGCTGCTTCCACATTTTTGCCACTTGTCTTATAACGGAGCCTAGTTCAGTTTCTAATAGAGAGCACAACTCTTTAAATTTAATGTTTGTAAAGTTGTGGCCTTATCCAGATTTCCCATCACATGTTCACTGATACAAGTTATAGGACTGCAACAACTAATCGTACATTTACAACTAATTTGTAAATTGTATATATAATCTTGAAAGCGAAACTAACTAAAAGTTGTTTCTAACGAAGCAACATTAAAAAAATAAGATTTCTTATCATCATTTATTCAAAATAATAATAATTCGCTAACAGTAACTGTACTAACAACAATATTATTATGCAATACGTAAAACAGACAGAAACCGTGGGTATTTAATTTGCATACATATTACATTGTTATAATGTTAGTAAACAAACGATTATGGTTAAGTTCAGATACCATGAATGACAGGTTTTCTTTGAGGTTATGCGAATCGGCCTTACTAACAATAAACAATACATCAAGAAATCCAAAACTCGAGGTTGACTGTTAATATTATGCAAGTTTTTAATTTTATTATATAAACGTTTGGTATATCTTTGCATTAAAATAATTTAAATACTACAGTGGTTATCATACTCATGTATTTCCGTAACTTACAAAACAAGAGGCATTGACCTTGGTAGCAAATCGTAAGAAACCCAGTAACGACTCTTATTGATTTTTTCTAAATCATTCTGTTACTGTAAGAAAAAAAAAAAGAAAAGATATATCACTTTCCCTAGGAGTACTACGCTTACAATAAGTACTATAAGCTATCAAATCCGTATGCAGTTGCTCTTGCCTATGCAACCATCGCAGCGCCATCTTATAGTTACTCATTCATAGAATATAAAAAATTAATTTAATAACATTAGGAAGTCAAGTAATTACCTTTTCATATAGAAACAAGCTAAAAATTGATAGTGTCAGATAATACTTACATACTTATATCATTTTAGCATGACCAGTGTGTATTTAATGTTCAATTTAACGTTTGGAGACGACTCAAATGTGTAACGACAAAACGTTTGACATAGTAATAAACATACATTTCGAGAGGATTTTGTCATCATTAGGTTAAACTTGTAATAAAGTTTTCTTTATTACCCATTAAAAACGCCTCCAAATTTTATTAGCCTCAAAGCAGGTTCCTCGTCATCAAATTTTAAAATTCTAAGTGTTCTAACGTTTGTTCGATTTCCTAAGGAAATTCATTTTAAAGAGACAAAAGATGTGTTGTATTTTGAATTTCGCGCAAAGCTACACGAAGGCTATCTGCGCTAGCAGTCCCTAATTTAGCAGTGTAAGACCAGAGGGAAGGCAACCGACAGCTCTTGGGCTACTCTTTTATGGGACAAAAGAAGACAGGAAAATACTGTTCATTTAAAGCATTATTAGACTGTTCTGAGGTACTCACTTGCAGTTTCATAAAAAAGCTCTTAAACTGCTGAGCCCTCATTCAGTGGCTCAACGGAAGATCTGTAGACTTATAACACTGAAAAGCGGGTTTTGATACCTGTAGTTGGTACAACACCGATAGTCCTTTGTATAGCTTTCTGCTTAATAACAAACAGACTTGAAATGTTGAATCACCCCACTAGACGCCCTGTAATTTTAAGTGATGACATTAATATTGTTACGACAGTGGAAGTCACGTAGTAACACTTCAAGAGATTCTAGAAAGATCATGTCCGTTTGTAAAGCCTCAAGTGTTCTCCAATGACGATATAGATAAGAATAACTACAGATTGAAGAGGTAGAGACGGAAAATTGAGTCAATCGCGGTAGTAAAGTGCGTGAATCGTTAATCGTGAATTATGGCGTGTGTTTAAGTTAAAGTGACTGTGGAAATTAAGTGTATTGCAAAGTTGAATTGAGAATAATAAACTAGTTTTAATTAATAAAGGACTTGTATAACTAAGTTTTTTGGAAAGAATTTCTACGCAGAATTAACCAACGACCACAGACATAACAATATTTATGTTTAATATGAATCTACTACATCTTTTTCGTTTTAGCACGTACAGGTTCAAGATCGCATATACATACAAGATTAATATTTTTCATAAATTAATTCGTATGGTTGCATAATACCAGCAAATAATTGAAATTTGTACTTTATTGTAAGTGTATAACCGTATGGGAAATTGAGGTTTACCGTTGAAACGCCAGCTGATAAACATAAATATTGTTACGTCTCCG